AATTACTTGTAGCATCAAACTCAGCTGCAGTGTTTTAACTAGTCACAATAGGGTGCTCCTGTAATGCAAAGCTTACCTTATGTAACTATACGAGAATCACTTGTAACATCAAACTCAGCTGCAGTGTTTTAACTAGTCACAATAGGGTGCTCCTGCAATGCAAAGCTTACCGTATGTAACTATACGAGAATCACTTGTAGCATCAAACTCAGCTGCAGTGTTTTAACTAGTCACAATAGGGTGCTCCTGCAATACAAAGCTTACCGTATGTAACTATACGAGAATCACTTGTAGCATCAAATACACGTATGCAAACAACAAGCATTTCTTTTAACTATTTAAAATATGAAAACATAATTATTCTTCTAAATAATGCATTGTTTAAACTACATTTGTATGTTTTATGTCAGTTATTTGTATCATGTGTAAAACAAAAGGGTTTTCAATCAAATATAAAATATTAGTTACGGTGGTGTTTTCAGTAAATTATACAAATTTGAATCTAGATCTGGTAATGTATTTCAGATGTTCAAAGGTCAAAAAACCTACCCTTTGTTAAAACCTAGTTAAGATAGTTATATTTTATGATTAGTTTATGGAATGAGTAGTGGAGGCCAGCATTTAACAATAGTTTATATGAAGAATTAATATTTACTGAAAGACAAGGGTGGCTTTACGTTTTTACTTTTTCTCATGGGTGGGCACGAAAGAACGTCTTTGAAGGACCAAATTGTAAACTATAATCCTGTCGAACAAATATCCCAAGAAAGAGAGAATTTCAAATCGATTCACACATTTCAAACTTACCATTTTCATAAATCTTTTCAAATTTATCCACAGAATTCAGAGAAAACAACTTGTACCCAGTCTTGGTTCCGACTGCAAGGGATCTAAAAATACAAGAAAATTATCACAATTAAAGTCATGTTGTCCAAAATAAGATACCCGAATCTTCTTTGAATGCAGATACTTAAGCTCCATTATTGATATGGACGTAGTATACTGACAATGGCACGTACTCGTTATCATGTACATATACAAATTTAATGTTTACCAAGAAAAAAATTGTTCCTAAAACAAAACTTAAGTATAAAGCCTTACCTGAGGTTTCAGGCCAGAACCTCAGAATGATATGTACACAAACAAAACCTTTTTTTTTTATCAATAGTTTCATCCTTAAAAGCAGCCTAAATTAACAGTGTTCCAAATGTATGTCTAGTTCAGTTAATGACATGATGTACAGAACAGTTATGGAATTAGCAGCATGATTAGATCACGTATCAATCTAAATCTTAAATATCTATGTCTGTTGGGTGATATCAGTCTTTTAAAGAAATTAAAACGAACTCTATGCCATAATCAGTATTATATTTTCTTAAATAGGTCATTTCATTGTGAATGATACCATACAAGCATGAACAATGTTAACTATTTCTTAAATCATTATATTTACTTCTTAAGAAAGAGAATTACCTACATTTGAAAGCTAGTACCTGCTTAGTGGATTCCTTTTTAGGAAAGATTCATTTTGATCTCCTTATGCTTCCCACAGTTTTCTATTTCACAACTGATCAAAGCTTAGGTAGTTTATGTGTTACTACGTTTAATCATAAAATAAAAAAGAAATTCAAATTACATAAACACAAACTTTAAAAATCAGAATTTGGAAGTATCCTTAAAACAATAATGGGTGATTTTAATTTCAGGCGTGTAGATTGAGAAATTCTAGAGTCCAACCATGAGAAAGGTTTTTGGAAACTGTTCGAGATGGTTTTCTTCACCAACTAGTCAAGGAACCTAGTAGAAACAACGCTATTTTAGATTTATTGTTAACTTGAAATACAGAAATGATTGAGAGGGTGGAAATTGGGGAACATTTGGGTGCAAGTGATCGTTGATCTATTAGGTTCAACGTAATGCTGCATATGAAAATAATTAATAATGATATTTTGATCACAAGAATTATCTGCTGTGAATTAGGCAGCTGAATTATTTGGAGACACTGATCAAATGTGGAAAATGTTTAAAGATAAATTTTTAAATATCCAAGGTAAACATATTCCTTATAGAAAGAAAAAATAGTAGCTGCAAGTAAAAATCCAGGTTGGCTCATAAAGAGTATAGTATAGGGGATAAAATTAAAGAAAAGCATCATAAAGTTAAAACATTTAAATTGACTGGTGTTACAGATTTAGGAAATTAGGACATAAAAAAGGATGTATGAGAAAAGGTTGACTGAAAATGTAAAAATTAACAGTAAGGAATTATTTAAATGCAATAAGGGTAAACAAAATGTTAGGATGGAGATAGGACCTTTGAGGGATGATAAAGGAAGGATAGTATCTGATGATTATGATATTAAATTTTGCTTTTTCTTCAGTTTCTATTAATGAAGATTTAAGCAGTATTTCACATCTTGAACAGTTGATAAATTAAAACGAGATGAAACAAGATGACTGCATTAATTCTGAGCTGGTTAAAAAAAAATGGGAAATTTAAAAAACGATAAGGCTCCTGGGCCAGATAATATTTCCCCAAGGGTTTTGAAGTAGGTTATAGATTGGATATGTGCATAGGTGGTCTTACCTATTGGGCAAACTGGGCAATTGCCCAGGGCCCCACACATTGAATGGCCTCCAATGCTATGCCTTTTAATCTACTTCTGTGAATGTAGCATGTGTTTTCACTACGATTTCTTCCAATATGCATATGATTAATGCATCAATTAATTTGTTCTTCATTTCAGATCATATCATCTACATTTAAAGTTCACCAAGAAGCGAACCTATCCCAGTGGAGCTGAACAGTATAAAAAGAAAAAGGACAAAAACAAGCTAAAGCAGAATCCACCAAAACTTATGTCTTACTTCAAAAGTCAAGATATTGTCTAGGATTCGGTCAATCTATCATCAGGACACGATGACAAACAGCACATCAGTATCCAGTGAATCAGATAAGTCTAACAAAAACCTATCGTCATCCTAATATCAACCACCCAAGACCGTATGTACAACTGATGTACTTTCAGACGATCCACCTAAGACTGTATGTACTTTCAGACGATCCACCTAAGACTGTATGTACAACTGATGTACTTTCAGACGATCCACCTAAGACTGTACGTACAACTGATATACTTTCAGATGATCCACCCAAGACTGTATGTACAACTGATGTACTTTCAGACGATCCACCTAAGACTGCATGTACTTTCAGACGATCCACCTAAGACTGTATGTGCAACTGATGATCCACCTAAGACTGTATGTACTTTCAGACGATCCACCTAAGACTGTATGTACTTTCAGACGATCCACCTAAGACTGTATGTACTTTCAGACGATCCACCTAAGACTGTATGTGCAACTGATGCACAAAAGACAACTGCACCATAACAAGGAAAAATGGCGAGAAATTCTACCACACATGGCTTGTTTATTCTCAAACATGGGATTAAATTTTTTGTTTTTGCTGGACACTTTTTGGAACAAGAGAAAATAGTTTGTCCAAGGTGGGCTTTCGAGCATAGAAGCATCTTGCTCAACGTTTGAAGGAACACGAATGTTCAAGCATGCATCTAGCAAACATGGAGAACTAGCATTAATTGAATACAGGAACAATAATAAACAGTGCTCACGAGGAACTGCAGGCACTTGAGCAGAAATACTGGAAGTCAGAACTTAAGAGAATTGTTGCAATAGTGTCATTTATCTAAACGAAACCATGCCTTCCATGGCACACACAGAAATGATACAAGATACCCATAACAGAAACTTCCTAGGACAGATCGACCTAATGGCAAAGTTTGATCCTATTATGAGTGAACATTTAAGGAGAACAGAGAAAGGTGAAATAAAAGACTATTACTTGGGTAAACATATCCAGAATAAAATCATCACGCTGATCGGACAGAACACACTAAGTTGACAAAGTTAAAGCCAAGTACTATGCTATCATCATGGATTGCACCACAGATGTTAGTCAACAAGAACATCTGTCGATGGTGTTGTGCATTGTTGATTGTCATATATCTTCGAGTACTTCTATATTGGAGCATTTCGTTGGTTTTCTGTTAAGCATTGGTCAAACCTTCAAGAACATGTGAAATAATTAACTGTGAAGGGTCTCTCCACCACAAGATACAAGTGTCGCATCGACAGTGTTAATGCCCTGAAATATCAGCTGCCAGAAGTAACAGAAGCTTCTCCTGTCTGAAGTTGATAAAAAACATATCTCAGATCAACAATGTCACAAGAATGCTTGACAGGATTAGCTCATATCTCCATTAAGCAGCGAGTCTGTAGGTCTCTAGACATGGACAACATAATTTCCAGCTGTTCAGAGGCCAAAACCAGATGAGTTTGACTTGAGCTAAACTTTGTCAACTTCATTTACAGCATTTTGTTTGCAGCTTATTTTAAAGCACGGTAGTGTATAGATGCTATTGTATAATTCTATAAACGATCAGCTGTGTACATATATATATATATATATATAAATCATATGAATGTATGTATATGTATTTAGTACATATTGTCCTTTTTTTTAATATTCACCAATATTAACTTTTATTATCTCAAAATAAACTTTTCGTTGATATTCCATTCTTATTCTGTGCACCTCATATACAAATTTCATACTTCACCTTATTTTTATTGTATACACTGAGCGGTTAGAAAAAATTATATTTATGGCAATGTTAAAGCAATATTGACCTTGGAAACGCATGTATACACTGAACAAGTGACTCGTTCCTCGCGTGACTTGCTTCTTTTGCTCCTCAAGCCACTTGCACATATTCGAGCCAGCACTGAGTTTTCTTATCATTATGGATCCACACTTACTGAATTCTGCCCAGGGTTCCAGAATAACTAAGACCACCCCTGGATATGTGAGCCACTTACTATTATTTTTTGTCAGCCCTTGAATAGTGGGCAGGTACCAGAGGATTGGAAGTTAGCTAATGTAACTACCCTTTTAAAGGGAGGTGATTAAAAATTGCCCCAGTAATTATAGATCCATTAGTCTTACATTAGTTGTGGGAAAGGTTTTGGAAATGCTGTTAGAAGATGCTTTGTAAAGTCATTTATCAAAGTTTAGAATTTTATTGGATAGTCAACATGGCTTCATTAAGAAAAAATCTTGCCTTACAAATCTTCTGACATTCTTTGAAAAGGTTACTGCTTATGTACATGAGGGTAAGTGTGTAGATTTGGTGTATCTGGATTTTTAGAAAGCATTTGACAAGGTGCCACATAAAAGGCTAGTAAAAAAGATTATATCTGTAGGTGTGACGGATACGTTAGTAAATTGGACAATAGAGAGACTGGATTGAAGAAAGCAAATGGAGTTTGGTCAAACTGGAATAATGTCACAAGTGGGGTACCTCAGGGCTCAGTCTTAGGAACTTTGCTGTTTTTGATTTACATCAATGACGTAGATGAAGGAATGGTCAATAAATTACTTAAATTTGCAGATGATATCAAGGTCTTGGGTGTTGCTAGCTGTGAAGAGGATGCTGCTGATTTAGATCATTTAGTGAGTTGGGTAAATAAATGGCAGATGGGTTTTAATTATAATAAATGCAAGATAATGCATGTGGGTTATCATAATTTGAATTATAAGTATAATTTAGATGGCAATAACCTTAACAGTGTTATGAAGGAAAGAGATCTTGGTGTAATAGTTGATCAGTCTCTGAAGCCATCCAAGCAGTGTGCTGTTGCTAGTGGTAGGGCAAATAGGATATTTGGTTGTATCTACAGAAATATTGCATACAAGTCTAAAGAGGTTTACACTTTCATTGTACAGGTCACTGGTTAAACCACATTTAGAATACTGTGTTCAGTCTTGGGCTCCTTACCTTAGGAAGGACATTGAATTGTTGGAAAGGGTTCAGAGAAGGGTTACTATAATGGTGTCTGGGATGGAGGGGTTGTCATACGATGAGAGGCTGAAATCTCTCAAATTGTTTTCTCTTGAAAAAAGAAGAGTTAGGGGGGATCTGATTGAGGTGTTTAAGATTGTAAAGGGAATTCATAGTGTTGATGCATCATCTTTTTTTCATACTTAACAGTGAGAATAGTAGGATTAAGTGACACAAATATAAATTTTGGCAAGGTAGGAGTCATCTTCAGCTAAAACAGTTTCATTTTTATAACAGGATGGTTGGCCTTTGGTTGTTGTAGAGGTAGTAAATTTAAGTGAGTTTAAGAAAAAGCTTGATAAGTATATGAATGATAAAGGCTGGCTTTAAGAGTTTATAAAAATTATTTTAATTTAGTTTAGAGGATGGAACAATAGGTCCCATGTTGTCCCAAAACATTATGTTATGTTATAATTAAAACACTGAAAGTGATTGACTTCCAAGCTATAACGTTTCTTCAATAAAAGTTTTGTTTTATTTGAGAATAATGGGCCAATCAAGATTACTCTTTACTTGTCAAAACAAGCACTCATGATACCCAACCAAAATTACTGTAGTACTTTCTGTACATGTACAGTATCTACTAGAGAAACACCGAAGAGAACTTGATGTAGTAAATGTATTAAATAAAGTGACAGAAAAGCAGAGCAAGTATTTAAAATGAACTAACAATCATTAAGTTGCTAAGAAACATTTTATGGTTGTTATGGCAGATGTATTCCTTAAAATTTATCTATTGTAATTGATAGTACAGAAATTGAAAAAAAATTAATGTTACTAAATTTTTAGGGTTAAATGTATTGTTAATAAAAAGACTTGGAAAGAACATATTAGAATAATTCTGATGAAGACATCACAGAATACAGATGTTTTATACAAAGCTAAACTTTACTTAGCAATGAGCTACTATATATTTCATATTGTACTTAAATATTACCTTATTTAAACTACAGCTGTGAGATTTGAGGGCAATACACATAGATTTTGGTTAGATGAGTTATATTTATAATGTAGATTGTAGCAGAAATGGTCAACACACATATGTAATCAGGATTATAATGAACATACAGAACTATCAGTTAGTAAATTTAGAACTTTATTATGGATATTATTGAAATAAAACCATGTACAACTGCACTTTATCCTTCAGCTGGATAGTCAGCATGGTTTCACTAAGAGGAAATCTTGACTTATTAATCTTTTGACATTTTTTAAAGAGGTTACTGCTCATGTAGATGAAGGTAAGAGTGTGTATTTCATGTAACTGGCTAAGAAGGTTTTCTCTGTAGGTTTGTGGGATACGTTGGCTCATTGGGTAGAAAACTGGCTAGATGAAAAAAGCAGGAGATTGTTATACATGGAGTTCTCTCAAGTTCGATTAATGTAACAAATGGGAATCTAAAGGCTCAGTGTTAGAACCTTTGCTCTTTTTAACTTATATCAATAACATAGATGAAAGAATGGTCAATAAATTACTTAAATTTGCAGATGATATTAAGGTTTTGGGTGTTGCTGGTTATGAGGATGATGATGCTGATTTACAAAAGGATTTAGATCATTTAGTGAGTTGGGCAAATAAATGGCAGATGGGTTTTAATTATAATAAATGCAAGATAATGCATGTGGGTTATCATAATTTGAATTATAAGTATAATTTTGATGGTAATAACCTTAACAGTGTTATGAAGGAAAGGGGTCTTGGTGTAATAGTTGATCAGTCTCTAAAGCCATTCAAACAGTATGTTGTTGCTAGTGGTAGGGCAAACAGGATTTTAGGCTGTATCTATA